AGATATCTGTTGGAACTTGGCCAGGTAAATAAGTTAACTGGGTTTGTAGCCTATGTATATGTAGGTTTTAGGTCAGAAATTGGAACAAATTAAGACTCCTGTAATCTATCTACTGGTTTAAAAAAAAGAAATTTTACTTAGCCATATCAAAAGAAGGCTGTTGAGATCAGGGAAGGAGAATGGCCGGGATTTTCAGCTGAACACAGGTTCCTATTCTAGCTCTTGTTTCTGGTCTGTTGTCCGAAGCCTTAGGGAGGGGCTGGATGTCATGCTATTTTTTGTACTTAGGTGACCAGAAAGCTATGTCAGCGGCCTGAGCTCTAGTACCCTGAGCCAATCAAATCTCAAGGACATTTTTAAAAGAAAAACTAGCCTAGGTTTTTTTTTTTTTTATTGAGGTGGGGTAAGAGGGTTTAGGATAGAGGTTCTAGTACACCACACTACTTGGTGGTAAGTCCTTAAGGCCTTTTAGAGCAGAGGTATCACACTCACCGGTAATGGCTGGCAAAATTCCCAAATGTTGCCTGAATCAAATTAAAATGTAATTGGGAAATATTTTTAAAAATTAATAAAATACAGGGCAGCTAAGTGGCACAGTGGATAGAGCACCGGCCCTGGATTCAGGAGGACCTGAGTTCAAATTTGGCATCAGACACATAATACTAGCTGTGTGACCCTGGGCAAGTCACTTAACCCCATTGCTTAGCCCCCCCCCAAATTTAATAAAATACAGTACAACATAGATAATGTTAATGTATGTGTGTGTGTATTTTAAGTCATTATGCTGCCCACAGGGATTCTTTTCTATTTGAGTTTGACATCACTGTTCCTCCTCTGCTTAACTTTAGTGTTGTTACAGGTCAACTCTGACTTGGGGATAGGAGAAGCCACACGTGAATGATTTCCATTGTCACCTTTGCCAGTTTTCTGGGTGTGATGTTAGTCCTCAGAACTGTTTTGATATTTGTTTCTCTTGTTAGTGTTTTGGAGCATTCTTTCATTTGGTTATTAAAAGTTTACAATTCTTTTTTTGAGAATTTTTTCTTTATCTCCCCTGACCACTTGTTTATTTGCAAATGGTTTTTGGTTTTCTTTATTTCTTTATGGATACCTTGGATATCAGACCCTTATCAGAAAATAGCAAAAACAAAACAATGATCAATAGCCCCTTGAAGGGGGTGACTCTGAGTATGAGAGAGCCAAGACCAGAGAGAAACCCAAGATTTCATCCTGCCGTTCCGATTGGAAGGACTGAATCCTGGATCTAAATAATACGGTTTGTGTAGTGAATGTTGCCAACTCTTTACAATTCACAATGGATCTCTTGATGTAAAGAAATGACCAATGCAAGAACAATACAAAGAACCATCAGGACTACAATGAATATAATGATACTTTTCCTGTTTGATCAGGATCATCATCACAAGTCAGGAAGAATTGTCCTATACCACCATTCACTTAGTGTTCTGTGACCCACCATCCAGAACTTTCTGCTCCCTCACAGTTCCATGGAGGGTCCGGGGTGGGGAATACCAAGTCTTTGCCCCATAAGAAGCCTCTGAAGGACTGCTCCCCCCCCATTCTGTGTTTGCTGGATTTTTACTTTTTCCTCCCACTTGTCAGAAAACAAGTTGCCTCCTAACAGTGCCACCTCTTGGTTTTCCAAGTCCTTCCTGGGGAGCAATCTAGAAATTGAGCTCCATATTATAGTAAGCAAATGACTCCGTTGGACTTTCTTTGCCATTGCTCACCCCAGTGTCTGTGTTGCTGAGACCAGTATTTCTACCTGTTCTTCTGCTGCCCCAGCACGGCTTTTTAGTCTTCTTCCTCTACATTCAGCATCTGTCTCAGTTCCCATTGCTGCTAGAGCCCAAGGTACTGTCCACTGCATCCCTGTCCCATTGCTTCTGCCTCTACCTCTGCCTTGGGGGCCTCATTTCAGCACACCCCAGTAGGCAGTCACTAACCACCACTAATTTTCTCTTCTCCTGACCCGTGAATTCTCTTCTGACAACTCATGGACTCATAGCATCATTCTTTGGAGGACAAATAGCTGCCACTTCTTCAGAATGTACAGGCTCCCTCTTTTCAAATAACTTTGTTTTTTTAGCTCCAGATGTCCAGTTCCAGGGGTCCTTCCCTTTTACTCTTGTTTAATATTCAATCCTTTAATAATCTGATACAGGTCAAGATTCCTTTCTGTTTTTCTTCTTTATTTTTACACTGAAGCCCTTCCTGGTTTTTGTCATTTGTTTTGTTTTGTTTTTGGAGCATTCTTTTTTTAATATCTTAGAGAATAGAGAGGCTTTCCTTAAGTCTCTTTATGTTCTCATTTGGAAGGGATAGCAGCCTCCATATTGAAAACAGATGAACAGTCATTTGGCCATGAAATATGAGCATTGCATATTCATTGTTGATTACTGCAAGCATCTTCCTTCCTTCTCTGACCTACTGGAAGTGACAGCCTCAGTACTTACCTTTCTTCCTAGTAGCTGCCCTGTACCCTCATCCTGTTAACCTATGTTCAGGTTCATGAATCCTAGGCACTGCTTGGGCAGTATTCTTATTTTATCATAAGCCTATTCTTGTTTTATTGATAATTTTCCACTGTCATATTAGTAAGATAGATCTATAGATATGTAAAATGCTTTTGGGACTCAAAGTTGTTTGCATGCTTAAATTCAGTATCAGAAGTCAACAAATACAACTTGGTAATTGATTAGATGTGAGGTATGGGAGATGTCGAAGATGAGAGCCTGAGAGAATTTTGGTACCATTATTTTATCCTAAGGAAGACAGGAAATAGGGCAATCTTGAAGAAAAAATGGTAAGTTTAGTTTGGTATATTTAGCAGTTTCAGGTGCTAATGAGATGTCTGTTCCAAGAGAAATGCTCAAAAGGCAGTTGAAAGTGGAGCTCAGGGGAATTGGGGCTGGAAAAGGAATACTTCCCCTTTCTTCCTTAACTTACTTCAATATGAAGAAAAATTAATTTGGATGTAAGTTCAACTTTAGTGGCTCATCCATAGTATGGAGATAATGGTAGGTTTTTGAAAGTTATATCAATGAAGCATAATCTCTGGTAGGTAGGTTCTGCCAACCTTGAAAGGTTTTGAGCATGTTCCTAGTGAGAGACTGAATTTACTGTCTGAGGACCAACCTAGAAAAATATGGAGAAACTTAGCGGTGGAATTTTTTAAGCACCTTTGTGCTTAGGACACTGTACCAGGTGCTGTGGTGATGAATTCTTTACCACTTACTGAGTAGAGTTTTATGTTCTCTGTTCTTAATTGAAAAAGTAGGTGATTTCCTGCAAAGATTGTAATGTGTAAGGTTCCAACTATTCCCATCTCCCCATAGAAACTCCCTACCAAAGCTGAAAAAGAACACCATATGAAGCAGTGATTCATTAAAACAAAAGGGAAATAACATCCAATCTAGGACTTTACAAGAAGCCCAGATGCAGCTGATATTCTTGTTTTGGGGACCCTTCAGAGGACCTGAAGTCAGTGGAATCATAACCGCAGCTTGTCAGAGCAACTTCAGGAAACAAAGCCAACTTCAAGTGGATTACTTACTGCACAAAGAGACTAAAGGACTTAGGAGCCCAGGTAGTGCCCATCTTGGGTACTTCAGGAATTCTACAGCCACCCTTATCTCCACAGTCTGCTTTCTGCTGAATTAAACAATCAAGTTAGAGAACTACAGAAGCTGAGGAGTGGTTCTATTTGCTAATCTGGACATTGGGGTGGGTGATGCAATATTGTGCTGGATGCAGGACCATATGATTCCCCTAACTAAAGATCAGAGAGCTATTCTAGTCCACTTGGGTTCCATGTACCGGTTGCAACACCCACCTAATGCAAGTGGCTCTCGACCTGTTCCTCAGTTGGCAAAATTTCACTTTTATCCCATCTCAGGGCAAGAAGTTTGCCTCTAGTGATCATCAGGTACATCATCATGCATCTGACTGCTCAGGTTAGGTGTCCAGTTGCTAAGAAACCATGTCCATGATGAATCATTGCCACCATAGGAAGAGAAAGGGTTCTCTGGCCCAGCAGTTTCTTGGTTTTGGCCTCCAGGAAGACTTACCTGGTTAGAATGAATTGCTTTTGGATATAATCACCCTTCCTTATTTCTTCCCCTGGAGCAGAGATCCTGCACCTTAGAGCCTTTACTCTTCTCAAAGGGCTTCATAATGCCCTGGAGAAATAGCTTAAGTTTCTCTCATTTGGAAGGCTTTGTTTCCTCTGGGATGATTCAGACAATTTCTTTCCAGAAGAGGCTTGGAGCAACCAAAGGGTAGTATTGTTGGGAGGTGTCTTGTTTTCTAAGAGTGTGAGGAAGTTATGTAGCTATGGCAAATGTCTGTTTACTTGGAAGAAAGGGGATCGCCCTAGTCTGATTTGGTAGTTATTCTGAATCTCTGGATAAAGGTTAGGGAAGAGTCCTTATTTAGTTCCCATGGGAAAATGGGGCAACCTTTCTTCAGAGACTTCTAAAGGGGCAGAGTTTTACTATCATCCTCCTGATATGGTTTTCAGGGAGAGAGATGTTTTGGTTGGGTGAGCAAGGCAGTACTGGGGGGAGGATTTTATTTGGAGAGCTTCAATATCAACATAGATCCTGGAACAGAATCTGTGTAAAGGGTCTGCCACCTCTTAGTCACTTTACTACAGCTGATCCTGATGTGTGATAAAAAATTATTGATTGTGTTAGAGGTGTCTTCATTTGTTCTGTGACCCTGATGTTCCTGTTGCTGCTTCTGCTAATGATCACTACCTTGCCTTGTAAACTGATTTGGTATCTCCCAACACATGGATTAGATTGTTGAGACCTAAGACTTGGTCCTTCTGAAAGGAGGAGGAAAATCTTAGGATTTCTGCTTTTGTTCTCCTTGGGATTTTTTTTCTTTTTTTTCTGTATGGTGACTTTGTCATTGTTGTTCTGTGGCTGTTTTGGTTTTGCTTTTTTTGATTTATTTTTTCATTTTTACCATAGGAAGATTGTCCAGTAATTTAAAAGCATTTAAAGCTTTTAAATGCTAGAAGGTCTTCTAGAAGAGCCATAGGATCTTGCCCACCATAAAATGGTATGTGATAGAACCAATGTCTTACCAGGTTAATCCTCTTCTTAAAAGACAATAACCCTGTCCCTAGGACTTGACTGGCTTATACTATGCTGCTTCCTGGTAGCTTCTGGTAATGTTGATGTGGCTTCCTGGTCACCATTGGGCATAAAAGTTCCACCCCTGTGGGGGGTTCAGGCTCTTAAGACTTGGTTGTCCTAAGATACCTTCTCCTGCTGACCAGTTTCTATATGGAGATGGGGTGGGATGTCTGCCTGAGCTAAGTACTGCTATATCTTTTTTGAGATCTTTTCTATGTTATGGCCAATTAAATCTTCCTTTTCAACTGTTAAATGACCTATGAGTATCTCATTTTGTCCCATCACTAAACTAGAACTAACAGAGTGTCAGTGTAGATTAGATCTGTCCTGAACAAGGGGGATTAAAAGGAAGGAAAGAAAGGGGAAAAAACAGTGATCTAGGTCTGGGCTTTGTGAAGAGAGGAAGTGCAGAGGAGTGAGATTACATTTCAGTTATGATTGTTGTCCTTCATTCTGTAAGGGGACTAAAATGACTGTCACTGTGGTTGAGTTCAGAAGGCTCTACCACAGTTTGGGCACAAATAGTCATATTTGGAGTGAAGATGTCTCTAAATTTGCACATTGCACATTTCTTTTCAGCTACTGCAAGGTAATGGTGGGTTTTTGACAGCAACTCTCCCTCTACTTTAGTCTTGGCTTGTAACCTTTTCAAGTTAAATAATTTAACCTCAGTGTGTAGCTGACTTTGATACTGTTTTTGTCCTCATTGAAGGCATCTGACAACATTACTGAAAATATAATGCTAAAAATTAGTATGGGAGCAAGTATACACCCTTACTTTGCTCCATTGGTGACTGGGAAAGTGTGAGAGCAGCTTCATCCATTATCTGGAACCTGTATGGGCATGCTGTCATGAGACTGATGTACAGTACTGATGAACTTCTCTGGACATCCAAATTTTAATTTTCCACAAGCCCTCGTGACTGACAGTATCAAAGGCCTTGGACAGATTGGTGAACTGGTTCTGCTGCTGGCACTTCTGGAGTTATCAGGCAGCAAACACTGTTATCACCTGTTCCTTAGCCTTTTTTGAAGCCACACTGTCTCTTAGGTAGATGACCATCTTGCAAGGTGAAGGATCGGCCTATTTTTTAAAAAAATATTTTATTTTTCCCCAGTTACATGTAAAAATATTTTCTAACATTGACTTAAAAATTTTTGAGTTCCAAACTTTCTCTCTCTCCCTCACCTCCCCCTTCTCTGGGAAAGTAAGCAATTTGATATAGGTTATACATGTTTAATCGTGCAAAACATATTACCATATTAGTTATGTTGTGAGAGAAGACACAGAAACAAAGGAAGAAAAACCCATAGGAAAAAATACAGAAAGTGAAAAATAATATGTTTTGATCTTCCTTCAGGTTCCATCAGTTCTTTCTGTGGAGGTGGATAGCATTTTTCATCATAAGTCCTTTGGAATTGTCTTGGATCATTGTATTGCTGAGAATAGCTAAATCATTCATAGTTGATCATTGTTCAGTATTGCTGTTACTATGTACAGTGTTCTCCTAACTTTGCGTCAGTTCATGTAAGTCTTTCCAGTTTTCTGAAATTATCCTGCTCATCATTTTTTATAATACAGTAATAATCCATTCCCATCATATACCACCACTTATTCAGCCATTCCCCAATTGATGGGCTTCCTCTCAATTTCCAATTCTTTGCTACTAGAAAAAGAGCTGCTATGTATATTTTTGTACAAATAGGTGAAGGATCAGTCTATGAAGGAGGACTCTGGTAAGAATCTTGCCAGCAATGACTAAGAAAGACATTCCCCCAGCCCCACTTGTGATTGTCATAGGACAGTCTATTTCCTTTACCTTTATAGAGTTAGACAATGGAGGCATTCTTGAACTCCTGGGAGAATAACCTCCTCTTGCCACATAACCTGGAAAATTTCAGTCAGCTTTTGTATGAGCAGTGGACCCCCTGCCTTGTCAATCTCAGCTGAAATAGAAGAAGCACCAGGTACTTTGCCACATGAGAGGAGCTTAATGGTATCTAAAACCCCCTTCTTCAGTTGGAAGTTCAGCTAGAGAGGGATTAACTTCAACTTGAGGTATACAGTCAATGGTTTTAACATTGATTGATGGATGACATTGAGAACATTGTGAAGTGTTCAGCCCATCTCTCCAGGATCATGTCCTTATCACTAATCAATGTGGCTCCATCAGCACTGAGTAGTTGACATGCATCATAGGTCTTTGGCCAATAAATAGCATTCAGGAGGGCATCATAAAAGTGCTGTGGATTGTTACTATCACTGTACAACTGTTTTTCTTCTGCCTTCTCACTGCATCTCTCTGAGTTTTGCTTGCACTTTCCTTTTGATGGAGATAAATGCTGCCTTCCTAGAGATGGATGGATAGTAATCTCTGTGGAGTTCTCATTTTTCATTTATCAACTTCAAAATTTCCCCATCATTTTCATCAAACCAGTCTTGATGTTTGTGAGAGTTCTGGCCCAGATGAGTAAATGCAATGCTGTACACCATATTTCTGAAAGCTGCCCATTCCTTTTCTGATCCACTATGGCCAACTGTGTGTTGGCTCAGCTTTACCTCCAAGTTAGTAATGAACTGTTCCTTCTTGGAGAAGCACTCTAATCTGTTGACATTGTCTTCTGGTAGTCATCTTGCCTGGGGCCCCTGCTTTTGTTGAATGTGAATATTTAGTTTGGAAAGGATAAGTCTGTGATCAGTCCAGCACTTTGCATCACATGTCGCCTTTGTCACTCTCACATCCTGTGGGTCTCTTCTCCTTACAGTCACATAGTCTGTTAAATGCCAATGTTTGCTGCCAGGGTGCATCCACAAAGTTGTATTGTGTTTAAGCAAACAGAAGACAGTGTTGGTGATGAGAAGGTTATGAGATGCACAAATCTTAAGTATTAAGTGACTATTATCGTTGCTGTTTCAATCTGCATTCCTCCCAAGGACTCCCTACCATGTCTGGTAGTCTGTGTCTGCTCTTACATTAAAGTCACCCAGAATTATAAGCTTGTCCTTTTTCTAGCATATTGATGATGAGGGTCTCCAGGTCTTCCCAAAATTTTTCTTTGACCTTATCAGGGTTCGTCGTGGTAGGAACATAAGCACTGGTGATGGTGGCATGACACTTTCCTCAAGTGGCAGTCTCATCATGAGCCTGTTGTTCACTCCTTTTGGTAGACATACAAGCTTGTTGACTAGATTATTTTTGATTGCAAAAGTTATGCCAGCTTTATGGCACTCCCTTTCAGTGTGGCCACTCCAGAAAAACATGTATCCAGCTCTGTCTTGAATAAGCTGGCCTTCATTTGCTAGCCTTATTTCACTCATGGCTGCTATTTGGATGTGATACCTGTTGAGTTCTCTTGCAACAAAAGCTGTTCGTCTTTCAGGTCTACTGGATTTCGTGTTGTCCATAAGCGTGTGCACATTCCACGTATCAATGGTGAGTGGAATCATCTTTGCAAAAATTTTTGTACATCTTGTGTGTGTGTGTGTGTGTGTGTGTGTGTGTGTGTGTGTGTGTGTGTTTCTACCGCAGGGTGGGATCCTTGCCTGCCGTGGTGAGCAGGCCAGGGTTGGGTGAAGCAGACAATTTTTAGGGCCCCTTTCTAGGCCCTTCCTCACAGCAGGAGGTGAGCAGCATGAGCCTTTGAAAAGGCTGCTTAGACACCCAGGGGGCTGTCAAATCCCACTGCTGCTTCAGTCTAGTGAGAAGATAACTCTTTGGCTGGGGCTGCCTGTGTGCAGGGTTGTGACTACAGCTCCCAGTATATCTATCAGCTCCCAGTGTATCTGCACCTGCTGCTTCGTCACTTGCCTGTTGCCACAGGACTTTGAGGTAGGTAAAAATGATAAAATGGTGTAGATAATGTCTTTAGCTTTGCACATAAATTGGATTTAAGTGAGGCAGAGTTGCTTGACTTCTTAGGCCTCACTCTCTCTTCCAGAGTCATCAAAGTCCAGTGACAAGACAAAAGTCAAGACGACTGACGATGGTTCAGGATTCGGTGGATGACCTTGGTGTCTTTGATGTCTAACCAAGCTCTAAGCACTTTACAGCACCTGCATGGCCTGTTGGAACAAATTTGTTCTCGTCTGCCCATTCCACTGGACGAAGTCTTCACATGCTTAGGGTAGACATCACCCTAACTTACCAAAGGGTTTGAGACCCCTCTGTTACCCTCAACCTGGTTTAGCCTCTCTGCAAAAAAGGTTTACCAGGGTGTGGCCGCTGTGCATGCTATTGCTTCTTGGAGCCACAGGTGAGAGTTTGGTGAAGCAGGTAGACACCAAAGGTGGAAAGCAGACCTGAAGAGGGCTTGGCAGCCCTTACACCAGAGCTGCTAGTCCTCCCTGAACACACCCTACACCCTCACCCTGCTTCAGTTGTATTTTACTAGTATTGAATCTGTTCCTTTTATCTCTTCACCTTCTTTGTGAAAGTACAAGAAGCAAAGAGAGGGAAAAAAATATAAGATATAATGGAGGAAAAATGGTGATCATAACTGTGAATGTGAGCTGAATGAACTCACATAAAATAGGAGGGTAGCAGAATCAACAATAACATGTTTACAGGAAACAAACTAGAAAAATATTTGGAGCTTACATTATGGGCTGGAGTCATATTATTGCTTCAGATGAATCAGAAAAAGCAGGGTGCGAATCATATGATAAAGCGGTAGTAAAAAAAAGAAATGCTTAAAAGAGACACACAGGAAAAAGGTATAATAAACTGCAGAAATTTCCCCCAGTATCAAATTTAAAATCCTGTTTGGCTTTATCTGTCTATCTATCTATCTATCTATCTATCTATCTATCTATCTGTCTGTCTGTCTGTCTGTCTGTCTGTCTGTCTATCTATCTATCTATCTATCTATCTATCTAGTTAGCTAACTAGCTATTTTTAGTTTTCAGCATTTACTTCCACAAGATTTTGAGTTCCAAATTTTCTCCCCATCTCTTCCCTCCACCCACCTTTTGGCAGCAGGCATTCTGATTACCCCTTTCCCTAATCTGCCTCCCCTTCTCTCAGTCTCCCCCTTCCCCCCCTTTGTCTTATCCTATTCCCCTTCTATTGTCCTGAAGAGTAAGGTAGATTTCTATACCCTATTGCCCGTGTATCTTATTTCCCAGTTGTACGTAAAAACAGTTTTAACATCTGTTTTTAAAACTTTAAGTTCCAAATTCTCACCCTTCCTCCCTCTCAATCCACCTTCATTGAGAAGGCAAGCAATTTGCTGTAGGTTTTACATGTGTAGTCATGTAAAACACTTCCATAATAGTCACGTTGTGAAAGACTAACTATATTTCCCCCCCCCACCCTGTTTAATTTATTCTTTCCTTTGACCTTGTCCTGCCTCAAAAGTGTTTGCTTCTGATTACCTCCTCCACTAATCTGCCTTCCCTTCTATCACCACCCCCCCCATTCCTTTTCCCCCCTACTTTCCTAGGGGGGTAAGGTTGGGTAAGATAGATTTCCATACCCGATTGAGTGTGTATGTTATTCCCTCCTTAAGCCAAATCTGATGAGAGTAAGGTTCACTCATTCCCTCTCACCTCCCCCCTCCTTCCCTCCTCTGTAAAAGGTTTTCTTGCCTCTTTTATGTGAATTAATTTACCCCATTCTACCTCTCCCTTTCTCCTTCTCCCAGTACATTCCTCTCTCACCCCTTAATTTTATCTTTTAGATATCATCCCTTCATATTCATCTCACCCTGTGTCCTCTGTCTATATATATATATATATATATATATATATATATATATATAGTGTGTGTATATATATATATTGTGTGTGTATATATATATATATATGTGTGTGTGTGTGTGTGTGTTGTATATATATAATGAGAAGGGTCTCATGAGTTACAAATATCATCTTTCCATTTAGGAATGTAAACAGTTATACTTTAGTAAGTCCGTTATGATTTCTCTTTCCTGTTTACTTTTTCATGCTTCTCTTGAGTCTTGTATTTGAAAGTCAGTTTTTCTATTTAGCTCTGGTCAAGAATGCATTAAATTTCTGTACATCATTGAATATCAATTTTGTTCCATCATTGATTACACTCAGTTTTGCTGGGTAGGGGATTCTTGGTTTTAATTCTAGTTCTTTTGACCTCTGGAATATCATATTCCAAGCCCTCTAATCCCTTAATGTAGAAGCTGCTAAATCTTGTGTTATACTGATTGTGTTTCCACAATACTTGAATTGTTTTCTTTCTAGCTGCTTTCAATATTTTCTCCTTGACCTGGGAACTCTGGAATTTGGCTGTAATATTCCTGAGAGTTTTTATTTTGGGGTCTCTTTCAGGAGGTAATAGGTGGATTCTTTCAATTTCTATTTTAGCCTCTGGTTCTAGAATATCAGGGCAGTTTTCCTTGATAATTTCTTGAAAGATGATGTCTAGGCTCTTTTTTTGATTGTGGCTTTCAGGTAGTCTACTACTTTTAAAATTATCTCTCCTGGATCTATTTTCTAGGTAAATTGTTTTTTCAATGAGATATTTCACATTATCTTCTTTTTTTTTCATTCTTTTGGTTTTGTTTTATAATTTTTTGATTTCTCATAATCATTAGCTTCCATTTGCTCCATTCTAATTTTTAAGGAATAATTTTCTTCAGTGAGCTTTTGGACCTCCTTTTCCATTTGGCCAATTCTACTTTTTAAGGCATTCTTCTCCTCATTGGCTTTTTGGACCTCTTTTTTCATTTGGTCTAGTCTATTTTTTAAAGGTGTTATTTTCTTCAGTATGTTTTTGAGTCTCTTTTAGCAGGCTATTGACTAATTTTTCATGATTTTCTTGGATCACTCTCACTTCTCTTCCTAGTTTTTCCTCTTATTCTCTTACTTGATTTTCAGAATTCTTTTTAAGCTCTTCTGTAGCCTGAGACCAATTCATATTTGTCTTGGAGGCTTTGGATGTAGGAGCTTTGACTTTGTTGTCTTCTTCTGAGTGTATGTTTTGATCTTCCTTGTTACTAAAGCAAATTTCTTTAGTCTGAGTTTTTTTTCCCATTGTTTGCTTATTTTCCCAGCCAGTTACTTGACTTTTTAACTCTTTGTTAAGGTAGGGCTTTGCTTCCATTGTGGAGGGTGTATTGTCACAAGCTTCAGGGGTTTTGTGCAGCTGTTTTCAGAGATACTTCCAAAGACCTGTAAGTTTTTAGTTCTTCCAGAGTGATGTGATCTAAGGAGAGGTGTTTACTACTCTCCTGGCCTGTCCTCTAATCTGTGAGTGACCACAGGCAATCTTTTCTGCCCTGGAACTGTGAGGAGGATTCCCACTGCTGCCACAAACTCTGCTATGCCAGTGCTCTTACTCACCCCGGGACTGTGACCCAGATCCAAGTATGGGCAAAGCAACAGAATCCTGCCTCAGTGCCAGCAAAGAGACCCCTGTAATCTCCTTCTGATCAGTAGTTTGATCTCTTTACCCTCTGTGGGCTGAGAGCTCTGGAAGCAGGTGCTGCTGCTGCAGCTGCCACCACACCAGAACTGTACTGGGGCCAGGGCTTGACTGTGCTGCTCTCTCACTCAGGTCCAACAGACCTTTCCTACTGACCTTCTAAGTTATCTTTAGAATTTGTGAGTTCAAAAGGCTGTAAACCACTATAGCTGTCATGATTTAGTCCTCCGAGGCCTGCACCAGGTTCACCAGGCCTCTTTCTGTACCGGTATGGCTTATGCTGGACTGTGCTCCTCTCTCGCCCTGGTGCAACAGACCTCTCCCGTTGATCTTCCAGGTTGTATTGGACTAGAAATTTGTTTCACTCTGTCTTTTTGTGGGTTCTGCCACTCTAGAATTTGTTTAGAGTCATTTTTCGAAGGTGTTTGGGGGGAGAACTTGAGCAAATCCCTGTCTTTACTCCACCATCTTGGCACTGCCTCCCCACACCCCTTTTTGACTCTTAAAGCCTTTCATAACCTGACCCTGGGAATTTGTTCCATGAAGTTTGGATTCAGTCAAAGGGCTGAACTTGAGGACCTACAGGGCCACATGTGGTCTTGAGGCCTCAGGTTCCCCATCCCTGTTGGCCCCTTCCTACATTTCCAGTCTGATTACACTTTATTGCCTTCCACGTAACTCTGTGATCCAGTGTCACTGGTCTCCTTGTTGTTTCTCACACATGACACTCCATCTCCCAACTCCCAGCATTTTCACTGGCTGTCCTCTATTCCTGTAACACTTTCTGTTCTCATCTCTGCCTTCTAACTTCCCTGGCTTCTTTCAAGTTCCAGTTAAAATCCTACCTTCTACAAGAAATTTATCCTAATCCCCTTTACTGATAGTGTCCTCCCTCTGAGATTACCTCCAAGTTGTCCTGCTCAGGTCCTGATTACTGCAAATAATGAATCCTGCAAAGTATTTGCATATTTGAATTTGCATTTTTCAAAGTTATAAATATCTGTAAATTGGGCAGTTGGTTTTAGCCCAATGGAAGT